CAACCCCTAACATTCTGTGATTCTGTGACGTGATTCTCATTTTCTGCAAGAATAAATTTCAGCTCCATGTACAAGGGCAGCTCTCTTTCACACCCACTTAAGCTTCAGTCTGAAGGTGGCTGCTTCAGTTAGTAAGGTCCCTCATGGCTGCCACTCACTAAGGTACTTCCTCAGAAATCCTGGAGTTTCTTTAATGTAATGTTCCAAAACCAAAAACTTAATACTCCCTGGAAGCAGACCTGTCCACACCAGATGAGCTGCAAAGGGGAGATCCTCAGATTGCTGCAGAAGCCAGCTAGAAGGAGGCTGCCCTCAATGATTAGCAGCCCTGAAATGGAAAGACAGAGTCTCTTGCAGAGAAGTGAACTGTGTCAGCCCTGCAGAAGGGCCAGAGTCCATTGAAAAGGGTTTAGGCATCTGACTGGCACATACTGCTTTTCCTCCTCCACCTCTCAGCCTGAATTTACATTCCTGGCATAAGCTGCTCCTTCAATGCAATTTTATCTAGCAGCACCAGATTTGATACGAACAGCTGAGTGTTTGGAATTTTTATGTGTCTAGTGATGTGTCACCTGTCAGAGAGAAATCGTTATCCCTCTGGGAGAGAAGTGAGAACCACAAGGATCTGCTGGGAAGAACCTGAAAGATGCGTGAGGTCTCTTCCTTCTCTGATCCGGCTGGGTTTTTACAGCTTTATCATAATCTCGGTAAAACATGAACAAAACACCCAACCAAAACTGTACAGTAAAAGATGTGTTGTTTCATTAGCTGTTCTTAAAAGGAAAATCCTCTTTTATTACCTTCCAGAGGAAGCTGTTGTATTTCACTGTCATGTGAAAAGTCTTCCCAGTAAATCAACTCCCACTATTTAAGACAGGGCATAATATATCATTCTTTTAAAAATAATCATGTGTATCTTTAATGGGATAGTATCAATCCTGCTAATTCTCATTTATAATTGCTTATGCATTAAGTCTGGCAGAGAGATGTGAATGGTGCAACATAGCAAAATCCTCTGTTACTCTCCTCTAGCCTGCCACTGAATAGCCTCAGTAATTCAAAGGTACATTGCTTTTAATAATGAGGTGCTACCATACTGTTGCTTTTCCAACACCCCAGCAAAATCCTATTAATATCTCAATATTTTCATCCTGAAAGTACTGCCAAGGGGGGCAGGGGAGAGGAAAGGCGTCTGTTTTATTGCGGTTACATCGGAGGACATTTCTAGTTACAGCACACTTGCTGGTAAATTCTCACAGAGGTCAGGAGATCAGTCACAAGTTTCACACTTGTAATCTTGCTTTCACCCACAGCTGCTAACACTGCTAGTTTACATGGTTGCCTCACCACATTGTTTAAAATAATAATCTTGCTTAGCAGGAGTTTTAAAGAACCTTCTAAGGATGAAAGAGAGTCACCAAGGTCTCAATCCTGTGGAGGTTTTGCATAAGATGCAAGGATACATATAACCTCGTTCATAAACCTACAGACATCTCTGAGTTTCAGGAGACTAGTTTCATTAAACAGATAGAAAACTTCTTATAAAACTCAGGAATGACCTAATAAACTTAAAAAATCCCCAAACAAACACCAAACCCACAGTTTTACAGACAGGACTTTCTGGGAAATCAGGGACTCCAGGCTCACCCACATGCAGGGAAGATGGTTACCACCTTGCGCAGACAGGGAGAAGAGGCAGGTGGTATGAAAGGCCATGGAGATCCCAGGGGAAACAAGGCAGGTGGAGACTAGGGAGAGCTCTACTTTTGCCCCTCAAGAGTAAAGTGTGGGGAGTTGAGGACACAGGTCCTTGCTTGACTCAAGATCTTTATTTCGCCACTGAAAGGAGCTGATAGATACCCAGCAAAGGTTGTTTGCTCTTCATTGAGCAAGAGACCGAAACCTCCCTTCAGAGTTGCAAATGCTCTGGATGCCTTAGCAATTCTTCGTTAATCTAGAGCATAAAGTACTTTCCAGCTATCCGATAATAGCATCCTGGGCCAAACCAACCGCAAACCTTAGCCCTATGGACTAAGGTCCATAAGGCATGTCATTCAAGACGTTCTCTAAAAAAAGAAGAACAGAAATCCTGGGTACTCTTCAGTTTGTTAAAACCCAAGAAGCTCATGCTTATGGCTCTAAGTTGCCTCATCTTCAGCCAGTGAACTTGAATTCCTCTCTCAGCAAGAGAAGGAAATACAGCAGAAGTACCATTTTGCCCAAAATGAGATTTGGGGGCAATTAAACGAGCCACTGAATAGCTGTCTTGGTAACAGACTGTACTTCTCATCCTTGCTTACCAGGTCCTCACAGGAGGGCATTTGGCAGGACTGCTTGTTTTGTTCAAGAAGATAGAAACAGCTGTGGAAAGGAAAAATCAGTGGAGTTTACCTGTCATCACAGTAGGTGAATTTCATGTCCATGCTGTGGCGACTCAGGAAGGTCTTGCTGTCCAGGGGGATATCGATGTTTGAAGGATGCTGAATAGGCTCACACATTATTATAAGGCAGGTGAAGAGAGGCTCTTTGTAACTACACAGAGTGTGAGGAGGGCAAGTGTTATACACTTTAACTTGTCCAGTGCAGTGCAAAACCTGAAATGACAAACTCAGATTGTACCTTCTTTACGTGCCAAAGTGTCTTTTTACATCGAAACCACTTATTACGGCTACAATACTGTACCTTCCACGTGGCAGACTTGAGGTTAACAGTTCTGCCTCTGTTGGTAACAGTGCATTTCATCCTCATGAAGAAGTCACGCTCAGTTGACATCTCTTTGCTTTTCTTTCCAAAGCCTGGGCCTGTAGAAGGAAAATGGCAGATGAGTTCTCAGTTTTGCTTCACGATTTCTTCTATGTACAAGCATGAAGGATTCAATAGAAGTAATAGACTAATTCTTAGTTAATTTACCTGCAGAGACCATCAAAGATGCACGGACCATTGAAGAACAGTTTGTAAAGACCTAAAACTTTAAGTGGAACTTAAATGGGGCTTTGTGCATTTAAGCCTATGTTTTAGCTTGCACCACGTTAATCTCCGCAAAGTGATACAAGTAAAAACATTATTTCTGTCTTAACTAGATGAAATGAAAATGCTAAACAAGCAGTCCTTATTTCTATCAGGTATAAGCAATATTTGGCAAAACAAAACAAATTTGCGAAGTATTGAACCATTAATGATCACCCTAGGAATGAAAATTCCCTGAACCATGGCTAACAGATCTCTACTGTCAGCCAATTACTTAATTTGGTTATTTAAAAGGCAAACAGTGACTCTTTTCTATTTTCATTATTACCAGTTTTCAGACTCAGATTTTCTCGAATTTCTTCATGGTCACATGGATGAGTAAAGTCAAAAATGCTGTGTCCAGTTAATTCCACCTGTGCAGAAGTAAGAACTAAATTTAGGCAAATAAAAGCAACTAATAGTATTTAAAATACCACCGCTTCAGATGAAACCGGTTGTCAGAACTAAGTGCATCGACAGGATGCTCACAGACACAAATCCCATGACTCTCCCTTTGTTCATCCTATGTGTAACTTCTCATTTTCCCCCCAGAACAATTCTCTATTTTTGGATTTGCACGGTGCAGTTACCAGTCAACACCACTAGTTATTTTCAACACATAAGGAGAAAACTCCTGATCCACAAAGCAGAAAAGAGGGGACCCA